AGTAGAGTTGGGGGTGCATATCATAGATTTGGTGGAGGGGTGAATCATAGTTTCGGGATGGAGGGCACAAGAACCTGTCATCGGCCCTGTATTTATCTATAAGAATTAACTTTTTTATGTCATAGATGTATATTGATATTGTCGGTTGTGAGAGAAAGACGAACTACGTTAAAACGTGAAAGTAAAATTTCACGTTTAAATAATTTCCTGTTTAAATAATTACCGTTTAAATAATTTCCCGTTTAAATAATGTCACGTTTAAATAATTCACGTTCAAATAATTTCACTTTTAAATAATTCACGTTTAAATAATTTCACGTCTAAATAATTTACGTTTAAATAATTTCTCGTTTAAATAATTTCTCGTTTAAATAATTTGTCGTTTAAAAAATTTCACGTTTAAATAATTCACCTTTAAATAATTTACGTTTAAATGATTTCGCGTTTAAATAATTTGCGTTTAAATAATTCACGTTTAAATAATTTCACGTTTAAATGATTTCACGTTTAAATAATTCATGTTTAAATAATTTCACGTTTAAATAATTTGTCGTTTAAATAATTTCCCGTTTTGCTTGTCTTCGGATTGGTTGCAATAGTTATTTTTTTTCTACATTGGCCAAACATGGAGAAAGAATTAACATCCGGGTATGTAGCAAATGATTATGAACAGAAATGGTGATACCCAACTGTTAATCAAGAAAAGGGCCTCTTGAGGCTGAGAATTGACTGATTATGTTCGGGTGGGTTTCGAAGATATTCGACTATAATAATGTTTTTCTATATCTCATATTATTGAACACTCTGTAACCCCTTGTGTCTTATTGGCTTCATCGCCTTGCTTGAGGTGAAAAGATTAATATACATAGATATATATCCATGAATAAAAAGACGCGTTTCATCCTCTGAGGGAGTTCATACTCAGAGGACAAAACGTGTCGACTAAGAGTAGTTTTTTACCTCTTGTCTTCTTATTCATTTTGTTCCATTACAGATCTTTAAGGATACACTCTATCTGAATGTAATTTAGAGGCATACATACATACATACATATATATATATATATATATATATATATATATATATATATATATATATATATATATATAAAAAAAATATAGTTTTAATGTGTGCTATATTTGTGGGATAAAGTGCTCAATATCAGAGATAGAGCGTGTGTAAATATAAAAGTGAACATTGAAGTCAACACTTAGAGGCGACAGGCTGTTTCATGCTAGACGCAATAGTCAGGCCACGAGTGTTGTATTTTTATCGGCTATTGAACCCGTATATATAAACAGCCGAGAAAAAAAAAACAACACTCGTGTCTTGACGATTGCGTTATCTGTAAGTGTTGACTTCAATGTTCACTTTTATATATATATATATATATATATATATATATATATATATATTAAATTCTGTAGTATAATTAATATTATAAAGGAGTAAATTTAATCTAATTAATGGCGAAATCACTTCGCTAACAGATTTAATAAAGCATTAACTTACTAACCACTAGTTGAATGATGCGATTCTCGTTCTTAAAAATTGGAATATGGATTAAATCTTCCGTCAGTATACTAGTACCTTCAGTAATTCTATTATCATCATCAGGCATGGATACTATTTTTTTTTATTTCCAGGTAACTTCAGGTTATTTGTAGAATACTTAGTTTACATATATATGTTTATATTCGAGCACACTCTGTCCCTGATATTGAGCACTTTTACCCATAAATATAACATGCATTAAAACTATATTTTTTTATCATAGCACGCTCAAAAATTAACAACCACAGTATATGTCTAGAAAAATGGAAGTCAAAATGGTAGCCATTTTGAAACAAAAGATTAAAAAAAGGGAAAAAGAGAGAAAAGGTTACGGAGTGAGAGTAAATTGAATAAAGAGTGACGCAAATGACAAATAAACACGACATATTACACGGACGCGCATAGGCGTACTCGCACGTACACACGCACGTACACACGCACGTACACACGCACGTATACACTAAAAATCACTTGCACCAGTGAAAAGTGCATATAAAAAAGAAAAATCGAGAAGTATAAGCAGTCAATTGCTGATACCCACTGACGAGTGGGCGGAGTAATTCCTGGGGACTCCATCTACGAAACTCTGGAGTCGGGATGCTGAAAGTAACATCAGTAAGCAAAGTGACAAACATTTTACCTGCATTATATATATATATATATATATATAGAGAGAGAGAGATAGATAGATAGATAGATAGATAGGGTGTGTCAAAATTACTTTTACGAAGATTAGGGTTGGGTTCCTTACACCAAAACAAGGACAAAAGTCTATATAAACATATATAAACATATTCCCGCAAATGTTTCGTGTTTGGATTATCAAGTTCAAAGAAAGATTACGGTTGATATCGCTGTGTTTCCACGTTATCTAGGCTACATTTGTCATTCGTGTACATTTGTGGCTAGACTGTTCTTCAATGTTTAACGTGTGTAGTAGAGAGCTAACTAAGAAGTGCTCCGTTTAACAATGGCAGGATATTCATATCGTGAGCAACTGTTTTTTTTTTTTTACATACGGCTGCGCGAATGGGCGCGAATCTGCACGGTGATATGAAATTGCGTTTTCAGACCAAAGGCAGCCGTCCCATCCAAACTTTACTCAGAATCATGGCACCACAGATTATGGATCGAGAAAGACCGAGATCCGCTCGTACGCCTGACCATAAAGAACACATTCTACAGGCTGTCGGGGACGATCCAGGCGTCAGCACATGTCAAGTGGCTATAGTATTCCTTATATCTTATAGTACCACATAGAGGGTACTTCAAGAGCAACAGCTGTGTCAGTATCATTTGCAAGGTGTGCAGGGTCTTTCGCCCTCTGATCCCTTAACACAAGAAAATTTTTGCCGATGGATTATTGTACAAATTACCGATTCGTTGTTTGTCTCTTCAGTCGTGTTTACGGATGAGGCAGGATTTGGAAGAGATGGAATAACAAATTTACACAACCAACATCTGTGGATGGATCGGAAACCCCATAGTACAATAGAGGCTAGACACATGCATCAATTTACGATTAATGTGTGGGCTGGAATGGGAGGTGACTGTCTGGTAGGTCCATATGTTCCCCCAGCGCGTCTTACAGGAGCTGTCTATACTTCCAGACCTGTTACCTTTGCGAAGACGAAGATGCATGTGGTTCATGCATGATGGGGCCCAAGAACGTTTTAGTCACATTATTCGGGATTCACTGGCTGTCATCTACCATGAAAGATGGATAGGTCGGGGTGAACCTGTTACATGGCTTGCACCTTCCCCCGACCTCAGTCCTTTGAATTTTTATCTGTGGGGGCACCTAAAGCAATTGGTTTATGCAGCAGACATTAATAATGAAGAGATGCTTCAACAATGTGTCATTGGGGCCTGCAAAACCATTCGACACCCTGTGGGTGTATTTGAAAGGGTCCGCCAGTTAATGATCCGACGGGTATAGGCGTGTTTAAGAGCAGGTAATTTGTTATGAATTGCTGTGATGTGCTACTACGATGGACTTTTGGACATATGTTTATACGGGCATTTTACCTTGTTTTGGTGTCAGAAACCAGCCCCTAAACAGTAAAAGTATTTTTGGTTTGTGTCTTGATTGTACACCTAACAACGTCTACCGTAAACTTTAAACTTAGTAGCTCGAAAACGAAGGATTTTCGAATATATGTTTATATGTACTTTTGTCCATGTTTTGGTGTGAAAAACCCGCCCCTAAAGTATTTTTGATACACCCTATACACACACACACACACACACACACACACACACACACATATATATATATATATATATGATTATCTATTCGAAAATTATAACGTAAATATGTTATAAAATCACTACAAAAATAGCCATTTTGTTTCAACACTTCTGATGTCTTATCAAGTGAGGGTGTTATTGGAATTTATTTCGTATATACCAATCCGATACTTGGGTGTGTGTGTGTATATATATATATATATATATATATATATATATATAGTTAAACCTTAGCGGAACGTCAGGGAAGGCTGGCCAGCCTTACCTGACGATCCGCTAAGGTTGTCTGGCTCTCTAGGTTTAACTAGGTCTGCTCTACTCATTGTATTGAGCACTTTATTTAGTTATTTTGGGTACTCGCATCGGGGTTTTTTTTTATCTTTGGACTTTGGACTTGCATTCTAGACGATTATTTTCGGCTAACGTACATGTTCTTGGTTCTTTCTTTTTTATACCTTTTTTCCCTTTGGTATTGGCTTGTTTATTTGCAATTCAACACACCGAAGGTATGGGATAACAATATATATTTTTATATATCAAGAGGACTATTGAGAAAATTGTAAGACAAAATGGAAAAAGTTTATTTGCTACGCGTTTCATCTGTTAGAAGTTCATCGGACTGGGTTTGTTGACGTTGTTGAGGCCGCAAATGCGCTTGAACGAGAGACGCTGGTAGTTTAAAAATTTTTTGAAAGAATTTTTAGTAACAATGTTTTAAAATATCCCACATTATGATAACAGAAAAACTGCCAAGAACAGTGATACGTTGTAAGAAGCTGGACGTAAATTTACTGTGGCTGAATTAGCGACTGAAGCACTTTCTCGACATTTTCGAAAAGAAATTTCTTTTCTGTATGTAGTGGACTATTATGATGACATGGGAGAATTTCTGTTATTTTAAACTTGACAAATAAAACACAATCATTTATTTATGTCTTAAATTCGATTTAAGTCGCATATGAATGCACAGATATTTAAAATTGCTTTGTGCTTATAAAATATCAAATTCCGAAAATATACTTAGTTATTTTTATTTAACTACACTGATCAGTTTGTGGTTTTATAAGACAACAAAAGTTAGATTAAAATATGCAAAAAAAAAAAAAAAATTAGCAAAAAAAGAAAAACAAATACTTTCTCCAGTTAACTCGGTAAAATATGACTCCAGCGAATTCTGTACTGTAAACCCTTGAAAAATGGTGGTATACCATAAATGCGCATGCGCGCTCTCTGTGAAGCTTTACCGGAACGCAGTGGCTTACGGCGCGAAAAGTGAATTTATGACAACCCTTTCTTACGTTCTTTTCTCTCTTTACTCACCTGTTTTAGAGTACGACACAAGGTCAAAGAAGAGAGAAAAATGAGCCGTGGATAAAGATTGTGCTGTGCCAATATTTCTAATACTAAGGTTTTGCTTGCTTTGAAAATCAGCATTCAAACACAAATTATTTTTAAACCACGCCAGCGGTAAATACTCATGTCAGTTGTCAGGACGGAGGTAACAGACACACACGCGCGCGTGAGCACACACACTCATATACATATATACATATGAGGACTTTCTTATGCTGCCTTATATATATATATATATATATATATATATATATATATATATATATATATATATCTGATTGAATAAATTACAGATATT